TGCTAAGTGCTTGTTACTTTTCTTTTTGTGTTTTTTCCTCTCCTCCGCCTGTGATAGTTTTAATTGTCAACTTGAGAGAATCTAGAATCACCTTGGAGGAGAATGTCAATGAGGAATTATCTGGATGACTTTGGCCTGTGCCATATCTAGGTGGGAGTGTCTTGATTAAGTTCACCGATGTGGGAAGACCCAGCAGACTATGGCAGCATTACTCCTGGGTTTGGGTCCTGGTCTGGACAAGAGTAGAGAAAGTGAGCTGAGCACTGGCAGGCAGGCAAGCAGCCATTCTCTCTCTGCCCTTGACTGTGGATGTGACTAGTTGCTTCAGGCTCCTGCCTTGACTTCTCTGTGAGTTCTCTGTGAATTAAAGTAAACCCTTTTCTCCCCTGAATTGATTTTTGCCAGAATATTTTTATCACAGCAACTGGACAAGAAACTTGGACATCCTCTTTCTTTCCCTCTCCCTTCTGTCTTATCTTCTGTCAATATTCACTTTCAGCGTCTGTTAGGTTAGAGATAGAACAGTGGGCAAGATCAGCACAGAACAAAGCCATTCCTTTAGGGGTGTGTGTGGGTCAGGAAGACGAATGACAAAATAGGTGAACTTACAGTTGACTCATTTCTTACTGTAATATTTTAAAAGAATATTGCATAATATTTCACTCGAATACTTATGCATCCATGGAAAATACGAATATTTACTTCCTTACCAATTTTATTCTTAAGTATCAAAATAAATAATAAATTCATATCTTCAGCCATCTCAGGTCCATATTCAAACACATTTCCCAATGTAATTTATTATTCTATTGTTAATAAGACCTGATCAACAATTTGATTTATTCAATGCCTGGAGATTTTAAATATCAGAATTGTTTCCTACTTCCTGTGTCCCCCAAACTTTCCTGCCTCACAGAATTGACACTGAGTGGCTGACAGGATTATGTGTAGCTGTCTCATGAGCAGACATTTGGTTCTTTGGGTACAAATGGGCTACCCAAAATGTAGTTCTCATGGTTTATCCCCTCCCTGTGACAGTCCTTTCTGAGAGGCACGGGAGGTTGGGGCAGGACTAGCTGCTGATTCCCACAACAGTTCCCTGCAGGTTTTTATGTGAGATTTATTTTGTTTGAGAAGAACTCTGAAATTTAGATTTCTTGCGTAGATTTTCAGGGAAAACAAATAGAGGCATTTATTTGTCTTGTTAAAATTCATGACATGTATTAGGTTACAATAATTTTAATATAACTTAATGAAATTTTTTAATAAAGATGTGGTGTGTGTGTGTGCGCGCGTGCACACGAGTGTGTGTTGGTGTGTGTGTGTGAGAGCTGGGGGATGATAGCTGACTCATAAATTACCAGAAATCATTTTTCTTTTCCTCTCCTTTCTTTCCCTTCTGTTTTAGACAGTGATTTCACTATGTCACAGTCCTTTAGAGTTATAATTTATTGCCGTAAAACTGAATGTGTGACTTGATAAGGGACATACAAAATTGTTTGCAAACAGGGACTTCATATCAAGTGTTACCTGAGTCTCTTTGTACTCAACTGGTAAAGAGGAACCTCCTTCTCCCAGGTGTCAATTTTTTTTATTTTTTGCTGTTCAGGATAATGATTTTACAAGTAATAATAACTTTTGTGGCAAGCTCAGGCAGGTTCACCAAATGATACTGACTTTGGTTGTCCTTGTTGATAATGACAATGATTGATGTGTTAGCCTATTTCAAAAGAAGACAGAAAAAGGACTGCTATAGCAATGGAGCTGATCACTGACCATCGCATCTTGTTCCTGGATGAGCCCACAACTGGTTTAGACTCCAGCACTGCACATGATGTCATTTGGCTCTTAAAATGGTAAGTGACAAAGGAACATTTTGTTTCCTTTTATTTAATACTGGTCACGTGTATGTACCAGCTATTCTTGGTATAGGGGATTCAGAAGTAAACAACTGAATTTGTCCTCCTTTATTAGAGGGAGTCAGTCAGTTACGAACGAAGAGATATCAAGAACAATGAAACGAGCATAGGGACGGGTGGTCAATGTGAGGGTGCAGCACTAATTTAAATAACATATGGGGGAGCACTTCCAGCATGTGACAAGTGAGCTGTGCCTGAGTTGGTATGACCTGACTTTGGCAGAAGAGACTTCAGGCTGGAAGGAAAAGCCAGAGACTCTGATGCAGAGTATTCCTCGTGTGTCTGGAATATCATGGAATCAAGTTGGGTTAGGACCCAGAGGTCTGAGGGGATGGAGGTTGGCTAGTGTACTCTTGTAATAAAATACCACAGACTGGGTGGTAACAAAAGACATTAATTTTCTTAGCGTTCTAGAGGCTGGAAGCCAGATATGAAGGTATCAGCAGGTTTCTGACTGCCAAGACCTGTCACATTGATTTATACATGGTGTCTTCTCCCTCTATGTGTGATTATACTCTGATTTCTTAAATGGACACCAGTTACCTTAGGACTCACTAGTGATCTCCTTTAACCTTAATTACCTCTTTGAAAACATTAACTCCAATTGTAGTCACATTCTGAATGCTTGGATATTAGATCTTCAACATCCAAGTCTTTGGAAGCACACAGTTATGCCCTTCACTTTTAGGACTGAAATGAAGTAGGCTTGGCTGGCCTATACATACACACACACATAGATAGATAGATAGATTGATAGATAGATAGATAGATAGATAGATAGATAGATAGATAGAGATAGAGATAGAGATAGAGATAGAGATAGAGATATATTACCTGGACCACATAGACCACTGTAGGGAGTTTTCCCTTTGGAGAGGATGTGGGAAGCTTTTTGAGAGTGTTACAGTGAAGCAATGCCCACTTGTGGAGAAGGCTGTGCAGTTTGCACCAGGGTGTTTTAAGTCACACGCCAGCAGGGAGGCAGAGACACAGTGGTTCTTTAACTAGAAATGGGGGATTCTGGATACACTTTGCAGACAGAACAACTATGATGAGTTCATTTTGGACCTGGGTAGAATGGTTGAGAGAATCACTGCTATGATTTGGGTCCTGAACACAGGGAAAAATTAAAACATGGCATTGCCTTTTACCATGAAAGAAGACTGTGACAGGAAAATTTTAGGATAATAATATTTAAAAGTCAGTTTTGTACATCTTTAAAATTAATAAAGAGAATTTCAAACAGACTGAAAAACTCCAGGAACAACACAAGGAGTATCCCACTCTCCTTACCTAGGTTCCCACTTTTAAATTTTACCGCACTTGCTTCTCCTATCTACTGTCCCTTCCATAGTTGTTTCTTTCTGACATCACAACCCATCATGCTGACTATCCTGCATGGAACTTCAAGAAGCGAGGGCACTCCACCCCTGCAGGCTGTTGGCTCCCAGTGAGGAAGCCAACCACTACAGTGTTGCCACTACCTGGTCCGCAGTCGCCTCACACGTCTCACTTTCTTGCACTGCTTCCTCTCCAGAAATGCTTAGTTGCTCCTTCTTTCTTTTTCTAGTACGGACCACTTCCCCTATCTGTCTTTTTCCCTTGTCATTGCTAGTACATTTCTTGAAGTAACCTTTAGCTTGGTTTAAGACTCAGGCCATGAGATGCTGCTATGTTGTTTCCAGTGCAGCAGCCCTGGAGCAGCTCACCTCTGGTGAATCTTGATGCTCTAATTGTGCTGGCCTCTTCTGGATTCTCTGATATGAAATAGCATTTTTCATTTTTATGGCTTACTATATTCTGTTAGGGAGAATATTTGGTTTTCAATACTGATAATCTGTTCTTCAAGTACTTTAACTGTTTAATGTAAACATGTTTCCAATCACTCTGGCTATTTCCTTTTTCTGCTATACCTGGAAACTCCTCTTCCTTTTTAAGTTGCCAAACACCCCACGTTCATGGATTCCCCTCTCTATTAGTACCTTCCTTTCTTTAATGTTCATACCACTAGAGGCAAGTATCTATGCTAGGATAGAAAATTAGGGAAGACAGAAAGATGTCTAAGGTTCAAGCATATTAAATTTGAGATGTCCGTTGCACACGTTCATTCAGAAGGTACAGTATGAGCCTGAGTTCAGGTCCTCTTTCAGATCATAACCATGCTATATATATTATCTTAACTATTAGCTGTGCTCACTAGAGAATGCAGGATACGATGATGCAGTTTTCCTGTTTTACACTGTAGCTTACAGATATCCTTGCAGAGCCCTCTGTTCATTCCTTTCTTGCACCATTGTTCAAACACATCACTGTTTTAAAATCTAGATTCTAGGAATTGCATATGATAAGGATATCTATTGTTGAAGTGGAACTTCATTATCTGAGAAAAAAAGCCCATTCTGTTTCTGTAGGTGTGAGGCAAGACCCAAGATTCTTCATAGGAGACTGTGGAGGAGATGCTGATGCCACTGCTCCAAAGACCTTGCTTTGAGCATCAGGGGTTTCACCATGTTTCTTTACTGCCTTGAGTCCTTTACCAGCTCCGGCCTGATTTTCTTTGGACACACACGTAGCTCATAGTATAGGTTTATAAAATGCTTTTCTTGAAGTCACCTCGAATCTTCATCTTCCTGCCCCTGCCTTTGAAAGGCATCACCCTGTCCAGATCTCTCACTCTGTTTTTGTATTTCTTTTTGTTTGCTTGTTTGTTAAGGTTGTTTTTTTTGTCTATTGGAAAGAGTATCTCATGCAACTCAGGCGGGATTTGAACTCCTGATCTCCATGCCTCCAAGTCCTAAGTGCTAGAGTTACAGGGATGGGCCATCATGCCCATTTTTTATAATTTTTTAAAAATTTAAATTCTATTTTTATTCAGAATACCAAACAGACAGGATCAGAACAGAAACTCTCCACGGAACATCGTAGTAAAAACACTGCACGCACAAAACAAAGAGAAAATTCTGAAAG